TAAAGTCGTCATTTTTGATCCAACCGTTCACTGCCAATGACGACTAAAGTCGCCATTTGCATTTTTTTACTGTTTGAGCATCGGAACGAGCCCCCGTGCCGAGAGAGCAAACATCTCAGCCCTGAAGCTGATCTTCATCCGCATATGTCACACGTCACGTGATCAGGAAGCAGAACATCCATGTTTTAGGAGATCATTTTGGGCCGTTCTTGTAAAAAACGTGAGGTGCGAACCAGAAAAGCGTCTGCCGATCACAATTCGACAACGGATTATGAAAGAACGGATAACGCTCAAAACACGCAGATTCTTCCTGATGTAAGAGGTGAGTCTCCTCTTTGTTTTGGTTGTTTTGGCGTCAACATCATCCTAGCGCGCAACGCTCTGTGACTCTTAAAAAAACAGTAAAACGGTGAGAAACGCTGGCAGCGAAGGCCGTTAGCGATCAGGAAACGGCTGGCAGTGAATTAGTTAATATTGGTATATTATTAGGAATGTTTAACATATTTACTCCACATTAATATTTAATATTATTTACTTCACATTAAGTGAAATAAAAGTGTTTGACAAAGGAGTGGTATCTGAGGGACTTTGGTAAACGCCCACATTTAACTTGTCAAGTTTTGATTTACCAACATTTGTAAAGAACCAATTTTATAAAATAGATTTCACTTGCAGGCTGCGCAGTGGTTAGAGCTGTTGCCTTGTAGCGAGAAGGTCCTGGGTTCGCTTCCCAGCATGGGATCTTTCTGCATGGAGTTTGCATGTTCTCCCTGTGCATGCGTGGGTTCTATCCGGGTACTCCAGCTTCCTCCCACAGTCCAAAAACATGACTGTTAAGTTAATTGGTCTGTCTAAATTGTCCTTAGGTGTGAGTGTGTGTGTGCGTGATTGTTTGTCCTGTGTGTCTCTGTGTTGCTCTGCGATGGACTGGCTCTCTGTCCAGGGCGTAACCCGCCTGACTGCCCGTTGACCGCTGGAGATAGGCACCGGCACCATTTCATCCCTTGTCTCAGTTATATTGTTTCAACCATAATTTATCATAACTTGTTCTGTGTCATCATTAGTAGTAGAAATATAGTATTCAATTGATTTTTAGAAACCCTATTTTTGTCTCTGTCTTGAATTATTACAAAGGCGTGGTTTGCCTGACATACCCAAATTACCTAGTTTCATCATCAATCAAATAGTAAAGGCTCAATAATATTGATAAGCCATTTATTTATTGAATATTACATTTTATTTAATACCTTTATAATCTATTGACAATTTATTAAAAGTAACCACTTAAGTGGTTACACATGATATGAGATATACGATGGTAGTAACCTAAAATGTTTTTGTTTTTCTTTTTTTTTTTATTAAAGAGGATCCCGCTATATACCAGTATCATAAATTCTTCTACAATGCTAGTAAACACATTGCTTTCCGTTGTAATGGTACTGGAGGAAGCATTTTGTGCTGTAATGACACTGAACTTAAACAAGGGCAACAGCATCACTACAGCATGCTCCATTGTCACTATCTCCCTCATGGGGCCATCTCCCTGATATCGGAGAGCTGAAAATGTTTTATTCATGTGAGAAAAATACCTACTGCCTGCTTGTTATCACTAGCACATAAATATAGCCACACTGATTAAAAAGGTAGCTTTGCTAATGTGTATTTGCATATCAGCTATGCACTAATCACTTTAGTACTGAAAAACGCTGTCCTAGCTGATGTAAAACAATGGAAATCTAGATTTGAAGTGTCCTCGATGGCCCCGATACCAACCATCGACATAAATATACCAACTCATACAAATCAACCTTGACCAAGGGTTTCCATAGGCTTCTCGAAATTACACACATTCTTAATTATAAAAAGCAAAGGGTTCCTTTTCACACTGTGTGTGTGTGTGTGTGTGTGTGTGTGTGTGTGTGTGTGTGTGTGTGTGTGTGTGTCATCACATTATAGTTTAAAAAGCACCCTTCTGTCAATTCAGCACATTTTCAATCTCAACAAATTCAACCAGAAATCTCATACTTCTGTGGTTCATGTTTCAATGTGAACACTGTCAGTGACAACTGTTAACTGTTAAAATGTGTTTAAGACATCTGTCTGTATTAAATATAATTTGTTTCCACTGAGTGCTGCTTTTCACATGCTTATTTAATCTAAACACATTTTAGTCTGACTAGTTGTTAACAGTAAGTCTGCTTTGCCTTTGACCTCTGTCTTCCCAAGTAAAAAAGTAAAACAAACAAACAAAAAAATAATAAACGGCTCAATAACCCTCCACAGAACTTTACTTCTAAAGATCTTAAAGAAACCTATTGAGCACTGGGTCATGAACTTATGTTTGAATTGTGTCTGAAATGGTGAAGAAAGTTCTGAAAGCACCATTCAGGGTTAAACTGGTTTTCAGTTAAATCTGAAGGCAGTTTTTGCATTCCATTTGCAGAGGTATGTGAGTTAACTCTCATATAACCCTTTAATTTTCTAACGTTAAAGTCCTTTGAGCACAAAAAATGCACTAGGGTTGTATAAGGGTTAAATGAGTAGTTCATACGTTCTATCAATAAAGTAGCAGTGGTGGCTGGTGCACCATTTCTTAGAACTAAAAGGCCCCGTCCCAATACTCGCACTTCCACACTTGCGTCCTTCAATTGAGCAATCCCGGCCAGGAGTGCGAGCGCGTAGAGTGTCCCAATTCTCAAGTGTGGAAGTTGACCACACACCTTTTGCACCCTTGATCAGCACTTCACCCAAGTCTGCATCGATGCAGACTGAAGTGTATTACCCACAATCCATTGCTGCGAGAGAAAAGGTTTAACCCTCCCATTGTCTTCATGGGTGACCCCACAAGGAAAGTTGACCATTGAGCAGGATTGATGGTTTATCCATTGAGGTCCACGTGGCAGGGGTGAGGTAGTAATCAGGTAGTGGTGCCTTTTCTGAAAATATGTTTTTTCAAAGGAATGTAGTTCATTTTAGGATGATTAATTGATGCTTACAAAACAAGCTTGCTTAACATTCTTTTGTCATGCCTTTTAACAATATTCTAAAATAGTAGAGCTATACATATATTATGGTGACTGAATTGTTATTTTTTTTAAATTATGAAGTTGTTTTTTTGCATTTGTCTAAAAACCTCATTCAATAACACGGCTCGGACTGAAAGCAACCATTGAACCATCCAGTTGTTGTTCTCGCCGAACCACCACACTTTCCTTGCATTCATTACAGCGTTTAGCAACAGAACACCGCTGGTATGAGAAGTTCTCCAATCTAATATATCAGAGAAAAAGAAACAGCCGGCTGCTACCACTTCAACTTTAGGACAAACTACCTGAGCCCCAAAAAGAAAAACACCATTTGAAGTCACGGACAACAAAAGGCGTTTGGACATAGAAAACGCAACTGGTGTTTAGCACAATTTCGTTTCCTCTGGAAATGCAGAATCTTCAGTTCCAGTGAGCGTGACCTGGGGATGGATGATCACTGATGGGAGGGGTGAGAGTTGCATGACTGTGTTTGCTAGCTTGTTTTGCAGATTTGCTATTGCAGCTCTTAAACGAACATGCATCAAAACGCCAATGATAAACGTGTAAAACATGCATGTGTGCTTTGAGCCAAAGAAAAAAAGACAGTCAAAGTTCAGACTTCTTGTACCATAGACTGCAGAACTCTGGGGTTGTGTGCATGTGTGTGCATGTGTGTGCATGTGTGACGATCGTTCGGTTCTGGTGGATCTTGAATGAGGTCTTTGTACATCAGAATGTTCCTGACAGAAATCTGTCATGTTCCTTTGGGTCATTCCTGAAATTTCTTTGTGGTGAGACAGGTTACACTGACCTGCTGGGGCAGGCTACGGCCATCAGCATGAGGCTGTGTTGGGCCTGTTTTAAGTTATGTGTCAATGCATCATCCAGATGGATGCCAGGACCTGTTAGAATATTTATTTATCAAAACTAGATGAATGATTTTCACTTAGGCTGCCAGCTGTTCGATATTGAGGTGATATGTGTAGGAACAGCACAGATAGGAGAAGAAATAGGACTGTTTTCTGCCTTTATATCACACAGTGGCTCTTTTTTCTCTTGTATTTCCTTTTTTATTACTACCTTTTGGCATTTTGGTGCTATTTTCTTGTAAAAGAGGATGAAATGATTTGTTGTGATGATTTGTTTTGTCCCAGGTGAATTATGTAACCTTGCATGTCAACCGTTTATCACTGTCCAGATTTTTTAAAATCAATCTTTATAAATGCATCCCTAACCCTAACTCTATAACTGCAAATACAATCACAGAATAGAAATAAATTCCATAACAGAATACAAATCATAACTATAATGAGAAAATATCCCAGCAGGATGCCTCTCTCCACTTGAACATCGTGATAGCGTGTCCCACTTGCACCTCTGCTATTAACGTGACACCATTCAAACAAAATATTTGAAAATAAACATGTTCTTTCCTTAAATAGTATGAAATAAAAAAATTGCTGTGGACATTCCATTTTTCTGAGTGTGTAAACAACAAGAAGCAGAGCAGAGGAATGAATGTGAGCCTCAAACTTCAAATAAAAAGCTGAATTAAAAAATACATTTTTCATTCAACAGATCAGCCTATAAAAACGTATATAAGATTATTTACATTTGACGCTGTTAAATGAAATCATAGAAGAGTGTGTATCCTGTTTCTAATGTGTGGAAACAGCAAAAAGTCCTTCAGATCCCATCTTCCTGTGGTACCTGCTGTGACAAAACATGGGAAGGCTACAAAGTCTGCCTGCAGCCATTTATACCAACAAGCTTCTACTATACAGTATGTTGCACAGCCTCGGGGCAAAATGCCCCGTTTTTAAGAGAGATAAAAAAGGGCATGCAATAAAAAGGAAAAGGAGGCATTCCGAAATTAATAAAACTAAAAAAAAAAGATTTCAAAGGTGTCTAAGCAGCTTGAAAATATAAATATAAAGGAGAAATGGACCATTGATCGTCATGGGCCATACGCACCTTTTACAATAAGGTTGAGGAGCTTTGGCCGTGGGTTCCGCTCACTCTGAACTGAGCATGTGTACAAGCCGTCGTCGCCTACATCCACCTTCTGTATCTGAAGGCTGTACTCGTGCTTGTCTCCGGCACTGGACACTATGGAAACACGAGGGTCAACAGACCACTTGTCATTCCCCGCAAAAAGGATGTTTGAGCGGTTCAGCCAGGCTCCTTTGATCCCATCCAACAGGTAGCATCTAAATAGAAAAGAGACATTTCGGGTTATTTTGCTTGCCAACACTTGATGTTATTTTAAAAAAGCACTTAGTTTGACATGAAATTATTGTGTTTCAGTGAAAATGCTATTATGAAAAAGCATCATCTTGCTGTAGATGACAGTTATCTGTGCAGTTACGTGCAAACTGTGTGAAATACAGCACTAAATGTCTCGAATCACACCATTAAGGCATACATTTACAAAAAATCATAGCCATTCGAGTCCACAGACTTCAGCCAACAGTTATGTGCGTGGTACATGGGCAGATCACTCCGAATCACAGCGAGATAGCTCAGGAAGTGCTTGTTTTCTCTCTCTGAACAAGGCCTCCAGCTCCCGCTGCTGTTACAGCTCCTCTCTGTGATAAACAGAGAGCTTTGATTCACATGACCTGGCCATCAGGGGCTGCACATCTGTAGCAAGCAAGCTACTTATTGGTTTCCCTCTGTTTTATGCACTTCAAAAAGCCTAGCCCTCACTGGCTGGCACCGTGTACCCTGTTTCTGAAATATTTCACACCTGACAGTTTAAAAAGATAAAGCACTGAGATGGTCAGTGCTGGAATCTACTGGTAGCTTGGCTGTGGTTAAAGACATAAAAGCATTTAGTTATTAAAAAAAAACAGGCTAGATGAGGTGATTGTTGTAGCAGCACATGAGATTAGAACGTCGTAACGTCTGCAGTCATGATGGCGATAGCTCCCGCTGTGGAGCATCACTTTCTGACACAACGCCAGTCTTACTCAGTCATTTCTGTTTTAAAATGCTCTCCATATGGTGCACAATCTCGTTGTACTTCCATGCCTACTGCACACAGAAAGAACTTGTCTTCATGAGTTTTCCATACACGGTCTGAGCACTGCACAGGGGGTTGAGATCAAATATATTTTAAAGTGTTTTATAGTACTCCAATAAATCACTGAAGAAAATGCATCTCCACTCCCCTAAAATATTCACAGCCAGCAGAGTAATAGATATCAATGCACTGTTTGACAATTTAGTCCCCCGAAAGTACTTTATTGCTGAAACGCTACCTTAGCAAGCAAAGAATAAAAGAATGAAATGCTAAAAGTAGATTGAAACTATGTAAACAAGCTAATTATTTGCCTTATATCAATGATTTAAAACAAGGTCACGCTGTTAAGATGCTAAAAGAAATGACCCTTTCAAGAGAAAAAGATCAACTATATATTACGTATATAATTGCTTAGGGGAAGCCTCGAGTGGGAGGAGCACTGGCTACTCCACAATAATAAAAAATGCTTGTATGAGGCCAAAGTAAAATAAATATCTGACCTAAAAGCACAGCTCAGTCTTAAACACTGAACATTGTTGATCATTAGTAAGAAGTAAGTAAAAATGTTTTTGTCTGTGGTTACAATGTGCTTCACAATCAAAAACAAGGGAGACATGAAAACATAAAGATAATTTATTTAGCCAGCTGAAGCAGATTTCATCTTTCTATATTTTAGTTTTATTGATATTTTCTGCAAAAAAATTTTGCGTCTCTAAACATCTTTGAATTTGGTCATTTCCTAGCAGCACTATGGTTGGTTTACTTGGCTCACCTCACATGAACTCACTCCGGTGAAATAAACAACAATAAAACACTTGTCATGCACAAGCTTCCTGTGCTGGAACAGTACCGGGGAAGATTAATACGTCCAAGCTCAATGTGCATTTGAAGCAGGATCACAAAACACTGCATGAGGGTTTTTGCAGTGTGTGAAATTGAAATTTTAGACACTCAACTTGTCCCTAACCTCAGCTCTTCACATTTAACCAAAGGTTAATAAAAAATTGGTCCGTTTTTTATACTTACTGTTGCTGGCTTTTGTTTTCTGATTGAGTAATATCACTTGATCAAGCCTTTTATACATTCCACACTATGAAATAGGTAAAAGTATGTATGATTTGTGGTGATATCATATCGGATTGATATCGGTATCGGTCAATACTGAAGGCTGCAATAACGGTATCGTATTGGAAGTGAAAAAAATTGTATCGGGACATTCCTATTGTTGGGAGCAGTAAGATGGCGTGAAAAACAAATTATACATTAGGTAGTTTTAGGAATTTCAAAATAAAATTCTAAATGTGTAGCTGATCGAGGAAAATGCACGGATCCTGCCAAAAATGGGTTTGGGGTTTTCATGAGGAAACATTAGTGTCACACGCTAAAAAGCTCCAGAAAGTGGACTTTCTATGATATGGCCCCTTTAAAACCTGTGGAAAACCTGTGGACCTCTAAAAATGGTGACACAACAGCCCCTCAGTCAGAGCGCTGCAAGAAACTGCAGCTTTTGCGATCACGTAATGACATTGTCATAAATCCCAATTTCAATCAGAAAACAA